TCAAAGTGAGGGCAGCTTTACATAAGACCAAAAGGTCAGTAGAGCCATCAGTAAGCCTGACATTCAAGGGGTGGTGGTGGTGGTGGTGGGGAGTCATACAGAACGTGCTACACCTTATGCGGCCAGGAGCCCCGAGGTGAGCCAGCTTAGGTTTGGTGCATTAGGCCCACCATGCCAACTAATGGGCCGTAGACCCCAGACCGCATTTAAAACAAGCCGAAAGGGTTTCCTTTTTATGGGGGTGAGGAAGCACCCACACTTTCCTCTGCTGCTTTCTCCTTGGGCCTCATTGACCAGCCTGGCTTACCTGACAGTCACCCTCCTGAAAGGGAGGTTAGGGACGCATTTGACCAAGGAGGGAGAGATTGCTATTGCTGACTTAACCCCGTGCTTCTCAGAGGGTGTTCCTTGCACCAGAGGCATCTACTGCCCCACCCCCACCCCGCTACCCCCCTCCCCCTAACCAGGAACTTTTACTGGAAATACTAATTCTCCGACTCTGGGGTTGAGGCTTAGCCATCTGTGTCTCCCCAGTGTTTTAGATGAATCTGATGCCTACTAAAGTGTGCGAACTCCCTAGATTAGAGAAAAGGAGTAAAACTACTAACTGCAGGGCAGGCAGTTCAAACCCACCAGCATCTCTCTCCATGGAGAAAGAGGAGACTGCTCCAGTCATGTCATGATTCACAGCCTCGGAATGCTCTCACAGTGCAGCGTGACTGTGTCCTGTCGTCTGTGTGATGGGTAGGAGTGACGAGGTGCCAGTGGGCTTGGGGCTGGGGCTTAGAGAGAGAATGGTTCGTTGCCTGGGGTGTGGGGTGGGGGAGCACACTGCTGGGGTGAACCTTAGAATTCTGCAAGCAGATGAGAATCGGGGGAGCCAGGTGGCCTTTGGGATCCCTGAGTCAGTCAATGAACTTATGGTAACAGACAGCCCCAGCTTATTTTCTGCCCTGCTAGGCCCAGGCCACCCTGCAGGCCTTAGGACTTGCTACAATCATGGAAGAGGGCTGGGAGATTGCATCCTGGTCCTTCCGAGCCTTCACCTCCCTTCCAGCCCTTTGGTCTGAATGACGGGCCAGCTGTCAAGGGAGCTATGGGCTGTCTGGTTGGCATTGAGGAAGGGGACACCAGGGACAACATGCTGAATGAGAGTCACATCAAGG